GCACGCTTGCGCCCGGGAGCATCGTTCCCTGTGTTTTGCGGCTCAATTGCCGCCTTTGCGGATTTGTCTGCAGTGACTTCTACCGCCGGTTCACTGCTTTGTTGAGGAATCCATTCTTTGTTGTCCTCGGCTTTTATATCCTCAGACTCCTCGGCGACATGAGCTTCAGGTTCCTCCTCAACTTTGTTATCAGGCTCCTCTTTCACTGGACTCTCAGGCGCCTCTTTCAATGGGATGTTGGGCTCTGCCTTGGACAGGCTCTCTGACTCCTCTTTAGCCTCGATTTCAGGTTCTTCTTTGACTGTGTTTTCCTCCTCTCGATCCTTCTTCTCGATTTCCTCGTTGACCTTGTTCTCAGGTTCTTCTACTGCCTTATGCACAGGTTCCTCCTTGGCTTTCAGCGTTTCCTGGACGCCCAAAAGATCAGGAATTCCAGATACACTTGAGGTCTTCGAATGACTGCCGGGAACAGCAGTTCGCATCAGGCCGACGGGAGTGACTTCCTTGAAGCTGTTCTTGCGGCCCAAATCGATGCTTCCCTTGGACTGTCGGTCCCTCACCCAGGGTGGTGTCGATTGAGAAGGTTGCTTCTTATGCCGAGGAGAATCTGGCCGATTCAAAGCACTCTCCAACCAAGTAGACTTCGTGGGACTCCACCGCCTCGGGTCCATCGTCCTCGACACTGCCGGGCTGGTCGGAGGCAAAGATCCTGTCTCTGAGCCTTGGTCGGTACCTATTGCGCTGGAGGATCTAGCTTGTAGGGACAGAGGAGGTCTGCCGGGTGAGTCGTGAAACCGTGCAATGCTACCTCCGGATACCGGAGGTGTGGAGGGGCGTTCACCAGCCACTCCGCTGGAGGATTTGGTGTTGAGGGCGAGAGGTGGTCTGCTGGGACTATCTTCAAGTTGCGTGTTGAGATTGCCACCGGGCACAGGAGGCGTCGCCGGGCGTTCGCCGTCTTTGTTACTGACAACCGTGGCTTCGCTGTGACTGGATCCCGGGCGAGGATGTAACATGGGACCGTCCCTGCTCAACCTAGAAGCTGCAGGGAAGGTGTCGGTGTTGCTAGGCGCCGCAAAACTATTCCGGTTGCTAGCGAACGAGTTTCCCCGTGCAAGTCCGGATGGGAGTTGGGCGCTCCAACGTTTTGATACGCTGTCTGAACGTTTCATCATCGCGCTTTGTACAAAACCCCCAAGTCCCTTAGTGGGTGATGACGATCTCGAGCGCTCGGGGGAGAGTCGTCTGGGTGATATAGGCGACGTCTGCTCCTCCGGACTTGGCTCGGTTTTCGTGGGTTCCAGTTTTTGTGCACTCGACAGAGGGATCGGTGAGCCAAGACCAGTAGCCGTCGACACCGAAGATACACTCGAATACCGATTACTTATACTGCTATCTGCAAATATTGAGCTTGCTCGGGATGGTGAGCGTGACCGCGCCGCCTCCGGGAGATCTTGGTGAGTAGCTTCTTTCTCCGGTTCGGGGGTGCCTTCGACTTCTAGGGCAGGTTCATTGTTAATACTCTTTTCCGGAGTAGTCTCAGGGATGTCTTCTTCTGCAGGTTTGCTGCGAATCGGAGAGCCGAGGCTTCTTTCTGTTGGATTGAGTGGAAGAGGCTCCTTAGCTGAGGGCGACAACGCACTCGGGCTCCGAGGCGCCGCATGGTCATCATTCGAGGTTGTAGACATGGCCCTCCAGCGATTCTCACGGGTGGGAGAGCTAGAAAAAAAGGATCTGCTGCCGCCAAGATCCCGCGACGACGGTCTTTGTTGCCAGGACAAGGTTCCCGTTCTGCTTCGAAGAGGCGATGTGGAAGTTGAGGGAGGCTTAGGAGACGTATCAATTTCGCTTCCTTCCGCTCTCGATCCCCTCCGACTCCCGTCCGTCGTCAATGATACGTCGTCTCGAATAAAATCTGACTTCGGCGTGGATTCCCGTTCGGGGTCGTACGGTGTTGGCTCAAGTCGAGTTGGTTCGAGTTGTTCGGGAGGGTCGATTGCTCGCGGTGTGGTGGGAGGGGGCATGCTCAATCGAGCCGTATCGAACAGGGGGGGAGAATCTTTTGTCGGCGAGATAGATCTAGCCCGCTCTGCATTGACACCCCAGAGGAGGCACGATCAGCTTCTGAGATTGACAAGCCGGCGACAAGTACAGTTGTCCATTGAGACATGTCATGACAGCCGCGACCGGGGAGAACGAAAACACAAGGGAGGCCACAATACCAGCTCTTCTCGCCTGTCTTTCCCGTCGACCCTTCAAGATCTCCTCTTCCAATTTCTTCGTGCGTTCTTCGTCCTCCTTATCGCGCCTTTCGCCTAACTCCCGAATACGAAGCAGAAAGTCATTGACATCTTCCGAGCCTTCGGCTCCGCTTGTGGAAGACATGGCCACCTTGGCAGTTGACGGGTCACAAAATGAAAATTAGAAGAAGAAAAGAAAAACAAAAGAGACGCAAGAAAAGTCCAGAAATCTAAAGGACCAGGTCCGACGGACGACCAAAAGGGGGGGGAATGAAGAAAAGAGAAAATCTGCCAGAGTATCAACCCAATCCAACCCAAAAACAAACAAGCACCAAGAACTGTGGGGTTTGGATTTGGCGAGAAGACCCAACGAGGGGTGGTGATGGTGAAGATGGCGTGGCGTGGTGATATGAAACCGATGATCGTAGAGAGGGTCGATAGCGACAGACTTAACCGGACGAGTGTCACCGCAAACCCCGTCGTAGGCGTAGTCGATGTAGATAGCCGAGACCGACGAAGCAGCGTCCCTTGCAAAAGCGACAGGAATCACGTCGAGATCCGGCTGGGATTCTCCGCCTTAAACCCTGGGCCGATTTCGCCGGTGGACCCGAAGGGGCAATAATCCTAATAAGCCGTAGATAATACCTGCTAAATAATTCCGGCGCTGCCTTACTGCGATTACGTCGGCTGCCAGACTAGACCAGGCTAAGCCAACTAGTTTGTCGTCACTTTCATTTTTCGAAGCCAAACGAATTCGGTGGTTTATTATGATTTTCCTGCCTCGGGCATCCACCCGCGGCTCAACCATGGGTCAGGTGATCCCGTTGCCTGGCGGCTCCTGGATTAGTCAGCTCGGTCCAGTGGAGCATGGGTGCTTGCCTGAGGTGTCGGTTGTAGTCCCTGATCGGTGCCAAGTCAGAGAATGACAGCAGGATCAGTCAAGATCACCCCACGGGCAAGTGTACCTAGAGACTTGTTGTGACGCTCATGGGCATGGCAGTAATCGAAGCTCCACATAAGCCTCCCTGTGAGTATGCAACATGTGCCCTACTTATTGGGTTCCTGCAGAAGCAGACGCTCCCTGCAAACAATTATGTATATGCCCAGCCACCCATTGCCCAATGGCCCCTAGCATAGTACGCTTTGTCCAATAGACCAATTTTGGCTATAAGAAAAGATGCGATGTCGATCTATATACCAAACAAGAAACACAGTAAAGTGGAATAAACCAAAAGTATTGCTTTGCTATCCATCGATCATTAATTTTCATATATAGCGTACCTAGTAAAGGAACAGTCTGTCCTTTGCGTCTTGCACCACCCAATCCAGACCCTCATGGAGATTCCTCCCTGTCATCGCACTGCAAGGGAGGATTCTCCATTTATGAGTATTTATTGCATCAAGACAGAGTCGCTATAAGAGAGTTAGCGAATGTGAAATAGCAACCGACCAGCTATGGGGACTGGCAACAGCAAAACGCCAAAAAGCAAAAAGAAAAGAAAATCGCGATAAAATTACCTCTCGAACCTCATGTTCAGTCATACATCCCTCCACATCAGTCTTATTCAGAAAGATCAAAAGACTGGCTCCCGTAAGGCGCTGTCAAACCGTCAGTCCGGGATGCTCGACAGAACCTTCACGCGGCGGGACCAGCAGAGCGGACGTACCTCTTCTAAGAGCAGGCCGGCCAGCTCATCACGACAATCCTCAACTCGGAGACGGTCGGTCGCATCGACAACCCAAATGAGGGTATCGGTCTTCTCAAAGTAGTTTTTCCAGTACGAGCGTAGGGTCTTTTGACCGCCGACGTCCCCTGTTGGCTTGGCATTAGCATGAAGCCGAGACGTCATCCGTTGTCATCCTTACAGATGTTCAGGCGGTACCTGGGAGTATTTTAGCATCCATGGTTGCAATTATCGAAGCAAGTGGATAGAGGATGACTCATACCCTTGAAAATCTATGGTTTTGATGATGAATCCTAGCGTAGGGCTGACGGTGGTGACGTCTTCTTTCATGATCTGCTTGACGATGGTGGTTTTGCCCGCATTGTCCAGGCCACTGAAGTGGGATTACTTGTCAGCGAGGTCATCAAATCGTTGGATTTGAGTTCCAAGGGGATGTACAGCATCAAAACTCGCATCTCCTTGTCCTTTAGACGGGCTTTCCTCAGTATAGACAGCATTTTGGTTGGCGGGGACTGGTTGGTTGAGGAGGGCAGAAGCGGCAGGGGAGGCAGAATTCTACTACTACTACGTAGGTGCTATACAAGGATGACTCCGCCTATCAGATGAGTGAACGTCATGAACAATTTTGCAACAAGTATAAAATATGATGACTCCTTCCGTCAGGTATGCTACGTAATTTGTAGTGCTTTTCACGAGAAGTATGCCTTTGAGCCTGTACTAAGTAGCAGGCTTTAAATCAGCGATTTAACCGTTGTACCACGACATTGGCGAACCTTATACACCTCCTTGTTCATCAAGTATTGAATTCGGATCTGCTTATCCGGTTGACCGCCGTGGCCAGACCCTCTCTACCTCCTGCACCTTGCAACTGCTTAAGCGAGTTTCTTCACTCCTCGCCCAATCTATCGTGGAACAACGCAGCCTTTGTTCTGAACTGTTCATCCTTTCACGAGCTCTAACAACCAGAGAACCATCTCTTTTAGAATGTGAGTTGCCCAAATACCGCCAAACATGAAGATCGTGACGATTAACAAAGTGCGGTTCAACCAGCACTCAAAGATCAGTGGAATCCACCATGCAAATAGAAACAGGAGCCACAGGGTCGGACGATTATAAACGGTTCGACAGTCCGGATCTCTGGGTGAGGTGCCGAGCGGCAAAGGAGCAGCTATACGCAGAGACAGACTTCTCGGTCAAGTATAGAAAGACACCACCTAGTCTGCCTAGTGCATTGCCTGAAACCCTCGGCGCTGAGACATACGAGCCACAGGAGCGAGAGCCTGAAAAGTCAAGCGTGGAGTTAGATTTGTCGGTGGTCGCTAGTGTGAAATTGCCAACTGTGAACCCAGCTAGTTGGACTGTTGCTGTGCACAATCACCACGATTGCTCCCCCTCATCACAACAAGATCCTGCAAGTGAGAATCAAAATAGCGAGAAGCCCAACTCACCATCTATGCCAGATTCATTTTCTACACTGAACCCACCTTCTGCCCCAAGTTCACCTGCACAAAACCCACCCCGAAAAGCTAGTGTGAGGGTTGCGCATCCTTCAGTTGCTCTTTACATTGCACCTCACCTTAGAGACCCCTCTCTGCAAGCGCTCCGTCCACAACGAAACAGCACTCAGCGTCCCTATCGTCCTATCCCCTCCCGCAGTGAATCAAAGCAACACCAGGTTACTTCTGACAACCAGCCCACCTTCTTCAAATCTCACCTTGTCACGCCTCTTCCAAACCCTTCTCGGCTGAGGGGAGAGGTCATACATGCTCCAATCCCTCCTCAATCTTCACCCCTATCTTCAGAAGTTCAGAAGGACACAGATCTGCAGGGTAAGTGATCACATCGAGGTATACCCACACATGATTAATAGCGGAAATTAATGGACCCGACAGAGAAAAAAGAAACCGAGGTCAAGAAGATGTCTGACACCGGCTCAGATGAGACCATGCTGGCTCGTGGAAATAATTTTCGAGGTAGCAAGCAAGAACCACCAATCCAAGCCGAGTCGTCTCGGCAGGCCGAGGAGCGAGCTACCCACAAAAGCTCCAAGGGCCGCAAGCCTTCGAATGTCCAGCAAGAAGCTGACAGCACACCAGAGCAACAGGAAAATGTCCCAGCAGGCAATGCTGCTGGCCCGTCCGATGATCCTGATCAGCCGAAGTGGGATTCGAAGGAGGTGTTGCGACGACTACAGGAAGGGAAGGGTATGGAGATCATCCGGAATGCCCATGCCACCCGCTTCAAGAACCAGGACTGCGATACTGCAAGTCCAGAGTCCTTGGTCTCTTGCAGAACTGGACCAGGAACGGACCAGAAGTCGGAGTTCTACCGGATCATGGCAAGGCGTCGTCGTGCAGGGAAAGTGGCCACCGTTATTCGAAAGGAAAAGCCTTCTTCCTCGGCTGACCTATCCTTTGATGCAGAAGAGGAAAAAGAAGATCAAAAAGTGGCCGTGGACCCCGTCGCTGCAAAGGAAAAGCATGTTGCGCAATGGGACGCATACCTTAAGAGCCCTCACGCCTACCCGGTCATCGAGGACGGAAACATGCGTTTATTGGGGTATCCAAGGGCAGAGCATAAGCGCATCGAAGAGCAGATGTCGCAAACTGGCATCGATCAGGCCAATGCCGTGGTGGACAAGGACATGCCACGCCCCGATAACAAATGGGCCGATGCCTACTACCTGGACTGGGAATACCGGCCTCGCGCATGTTCCAGCTTCGAAGCCTTTCGTGACTGGTTCCGCCGCTGGCTCGACTCCACCACCCAAATCTGCTGCTATGCCGATATCTACCACAAGTCTTTCTTTGATGGCACAGCCCATCCCGACGGCGTACAATCCATGTACATACCCAATCTGCATGACGAGGAGGTTTGCTTTGACACGAGCGATGAATTGACCATGCTCCACGCGCACGAGACTGCCGAGGGATACAGCCACAACTTTGTGCTACACAGCCGAAAGAAGGCAGAGGAGGTGCAGCTTCGCAAGGAAATGAATCGAAAGGCCTACATCGAATACATGAGCACTCCGCCCCGTGAGAATCCCAACTCCCCCAAGGCAAATATCTTCCTGCGTCCGGCCCGGCTCGAAGACTCCGCCGGCATTCTTAATATCATGAACTGGTACGCCGAACATTCCACCTTGAGCACCGATGTCCGCCGGATCGAAACGGGCGACGTTCGCCAGCGCATCGAAAACTGCTGGGAAAACAAACTGCCCTTCATCGTCGCCGTTGGCCGCGGAACGGGTCCCGATCGAGAGAACCAGCCCGAGAAGACCTTAGGTTACGCCTTGGCTAACGACACCATCGGACGCGAGACCAGCAGTCGGTACACCGCGGAGCTCCAGGTTTTTGTCAAAGACGGACACAAGCGCCAGGGCATCGGACGGTGTCTGATGGACAAGCTGCTCGAAGTGTGCGATCCCACCTACATCCCCAAACTCGGCTACTTCTTCAACGCCAAATTTGACGACCAGCCTAAGTACCACACCGGGGGTTGCCGTCGACTGGCTTGTCTGATCTTCGCCGTTGGCTATCAGCGCGATCGACGACCCCAGGTCCAATGGCTTAAGGATTGGCTGCTCGAGAAGTATGAGTTCGAGGAGCAGGCCGTTCTCAAAAGAGCACGAGTCAAGTTCGATCATTTGTGAGTTTTTGCTGTAGCTATAACCCCTCATCCAGGATGACAAGTGAGTCTAACTATCACCAGTAACGAAGTCGCCTATCTTATTCGGGACGTTGCGTACAGCTCCAATACCAAATTCGAATACTAAATCCGCCAAGCGCCGGTTTCTGGGTGTTCGCAAGCCGTTGTTTTGGCCTCATGGGATGATCGGTTAACGGTCAGATGCTTTCTTTTGTTATTTTTCTTTTCTGTTGAGCTGAGGCGTTGCAATTTGAATTACAAGACCAGTGAAGGGCTGGCAATAAACCAAAAAGGCAAAAAAGTTTGGGGGAAAAACTAAGGGCTGTGAAACGAAGAGAAAAACCCCCCCAAAGAAAGGTGATCCAATGTATTTAGTTTCCAGTTTTCAGGAATGGAGGAAGTCATCGGGCAGGGCACGTCTATTTGATCAAAAGCGGATCCCATCCAGCTCCCCTCCAATCAACGTAGTGAATCGTCTCTCCGATTTTAATCTGCCGGTCAAGCGCCTCACCGCCTCCGCAGTTTGAACTTTTTTTTCCCTTTTCTTTTCCTCCGAGCATAGATGAAGATTAGGTGCGGTAGACGATTAGACCATTAGGAGGAAGTGGTCACCAGTCTTTCATTCACGTTTTTTTTACGTTCTAATTCTTTCGTTCTTTTCTTTATCGGTAAACCTGCGGTGAAATCATCCACAGGACTTTCCTCCACCCAATTCCGAAAAAAAAGCACCGTCCAAGATGGCTCCCAACTCGGCAGCCAAGAAGCGTTCCAGAGACGACGATTTCGTGCTGACGCTCTCTGACGACGAGAACGACACCTTCGGAAAGACCACGGAAGATGGCGACGAGGACGAAGAAGACTCGGCTCTAGCGAGCGCGAAGAAGCGCAAGAGAGACACGCCGGAGGCTGCGGCCGGAAAGAACAAGAAGCAGAAACAACAGCAACAGCAGAAGAAAACGAAGAACGGCAAGTCAAAAAAGGACGAGAAACTGGCCGAGGAATCTGCCGAGGAGGAGGACAATGAAGACGAGGAAGAGCATGCTGGCGATGACGACGGCGCTCTGAACCCCGATTTCGAGTTCGACTTCGGCGGTATTGCGAATACGGTTACCGAGGGCTTCGATGGATGGGGTGCCGATGATAACGACAAGGCCAAGAAGGGAGACAAGGCGGGGGTGGACATTGATGATATTATCTCGCGGCGAAAGGCGAAGAAGGAGGCTCAGGCGCAAAAGAAAAAGAAGAAGGAGGAGCCTGAGAGCGAAAGCGTAGCCGACGACGACGAGTCGGACGGGGGCATGGATGTCGATTTCAAGGACGACGAGCTGCTTGCTGACGACGGTTTCGGTATGGGAGCCGATGGTGAGGCTGAGTCCGAGGAGGAGAAGGAATCTGGCGACGAGGAGAAGAGCGAGGGTGAGAGCGAGGATGATGAAGACGATTCCGATGACGATGCCGCTTCCGATAACGACTCCGTTGCAACGCCCGTCAACCACCCCGATGACAATGCCTCCGATATTGGATCCGATGCCGAGAGTGAGGTTGATGCCGAAGAAGAGGAGAAGCGCAAGGCCTTTTTCGCGCCGGAAGAAAAGACAAACGAACAGTCTTCGGCAGACCTGGCGAAGATGTCGTTCCAAGAGTTCAACCTCTCCCGACCAATCCTGCGTGGTCTGGCCGGCGTTAACTTCACCAACCCGACTCCCATCCAGCGCAAGACTATTCCGATGGCTCTACTGGGCAAAGACATTGTTGGTAGTGCCGTTACCGGTTCCGGTAAGACCGCTGCCTTCGTTGTCCCCATCCTGGAGCGTCTGCTCTTCCGTCCGCGCAAGGTTGCCACCAGTCGCGTTGCGATTCTGATGCCTACTCGTGAATTGGCTGTCCAATGTTACAATGTGGCCACGAAATTGGCTACCTACACCGATATCACCTTCTGTCAGTTGGTTGGTGGTTTCAGTCTGCGCGAGCAAGAGAACATCCTGAAGAAGCGACCCGACGTGATCATCGCTACCCCCGGTCGTTTCATCGATCACATGCGCAACTCGGCCAGCTTTACCGTTGATACCCTTGAGATTCTGGTTCTGGATGAAGCCGATCGGATGTTGGAAGACGGTTTCGCCGATGAACTGAACGAGATCTTGACGACCATCCCCAAGTCCCGACAGACCATGCTGTTCTCAGCCACGATGACGGACACGGTCGACAAACTTATTCGGGTCGGACTTAACCGACCCGTGCGACTGATGGCCGACTCCAAGAAGAACACCTCGGCCAACCTGATTCAAGAATTCGTTCGACTACGACCCGGACGGGAGGACAAGCGACTGGGATACTTGCTCTATCTGTGCAAGGAGATCTACACGGGGCGAGTTATTGTGTTCTTCCGACAGAAGCGCGAGGCTCATCGCGTGCGCATCGTCTTTGGACTATTGGGTCTTAAAGCGGCCGAGCTCCACGGTAGCATGAGCCAAGAACAGGTATGTCTTAGTCATTTCGGCCCCGATGCTCATTCGATCACGCAATGCTAATGCGAACCCAACTACAGCGTATTAAAAGTGTGGAGAACTTCCGTGACGGCAAGGTGGCCTTCCTGCTGGCAACCGACCTGGCGTCACGTGGTCTAGATATCAAAGGAGTCGAGACGGTCATCAACTACGAGGCGCCTCAGAGCCACGAGATCTACCTGCATCGAGTGGGACGAACGGCCCGTGCCGGCCGCTCTGGTCGTGCCTGCACGATTGCCGCCGAACCGGACCGCAAGGTGGTGAAGGCGGCCGTCAGGGCTAGCAAGTCGCAAGGGGCCAAGGTGGCCAGCCGCGTAATCGAGCCGGCCGTTGCCGACGACTGGGCGGCGCAGGCCCAGGGATTGGAGGAGGAGATCGAGGCCGTGCTTAACGAGGAGAAGATCGAGAAGCAGATGTCCCAGGCGGAGATGCAGCTGAACAAGGGTGAGAATCTGATGAAACACGAGGCGGAGATCATGTCCCGGCCCAAACGAACCTGGTTCGAGAGCGAGAAGGACAAACGCGCCGCGCGCAAGCTGGGTGCGACGCAACTCAACGGACCGGACGCGGGCAGCAAGAAGGACAAGAAGAAGCTGAGCAACAAGGACAAGAAGAAGCTGGATGACTCCCGGCAGCGCCAGGAAGGCAATATCGGGTGGAAGAAGGGCAAGGGCGACCGAGAGGCTCCTAAGTCGAATGCGAAGGGAAATAAGAAGAAGGGAAAGAAATAAGGGCCGGGGAAAAAAAAACGAACCTGTAGATAGCTCGTTTGTCTTCATAGATCTCAAATTTATCAATAATCCTCAACGTGAACATACTACTGAATATAAGGGAGCAGCTCTGGCTTGTGCGGTAAGTGCAAATGCGCCAGGTTATATTTGAACGCTGAGGCCCTAAAGAGACATACCTACCTGCAACTATACTCAGGATAACCAACTTACCAAACGACCTTTTCTGGTGAGGTATTACCACCTATACAGCATCTCTACAAAACCTACTAATTGGTGGAAGTTTTACTCTCTAATACAGTACATGACCTACCTAGGTATGCGCAACAGTCCCTAAATTCGCCCAAATGATTATGCAAACAATTCAGAACAACATCAAACCACTGGACACCAGGCCATCCCATAATACTCTTCAGTCACAGGAATCCTTCAGGAGCAAGAACACCGGAAACACCGGAAACAACAGGAACAAACTACTTATTGACATCACCAGTTCCATTAGACAACACCGGTTGTTCCTCATCACTATCCCTCGCAGTATAAATTTGCCGGCGATCTGACGCATACCGTTCATTCGCCTGCCTGATGAACCCGTCCCGCTGTTCTTGAGCCAGATCTCTAGCATTTCGATAAGCGGTTATACCCTGCTGGAAGCTTTCTGGGCTACCATCAAGCGCCCATTTCCCAACCCGTGTCATCAAATAGTCGGTGTCACGGTGTGGGTAATTGCTGTTGAACCTAGACTGTGTTGGATGTGTCGTATATAGCCCAAGAGTTCCGGAATGGTAAGTAGATGTCATAGTATAGGCATTATTATCGTAGCAAGCAGGTGTCGTAGTGGTATCGCTCCCACTTCTGTTCCCAAATTGCTGGAGGGAATGCATAGCTCGCGCCCCTAGAGCACCGTTATAACAAGCCTGACGTCTAACCACAGAGTGTGATCCATCGTGGCCTTTTGCTTCAACAAAGAAATTCGGAGCAATAGGACGATTGCTCTTGGCTGTTGGGATAACCTGGTCCTTAAGTTGCTTCCGGATGGCGGGGTTTAGCTGGTTTAGTGGTGCGCCATGGTAAAAATCAGGCCTCGCGTGGGCTAGAGTGCCATCAGTTAGGGGGGCAAGTTTCTTGAATGGATGGCCAGCGCCAGACCAAAAACAAGCCTTTTCCTCTCCTTCAAGGATAGGAAGGATGTTCTTGATGACCAGCTGTTCATCAGCAGCCTTTTCGCTGAGTCTGACAAATTTTTCATGTTCCTTTTCCAAAGCATCTGGCGACAAAGCAAGTGAAGGCCGAGAGGTCCGTAGGATTGTTCGAATTTCTTGGAAATTCTCTGGTTTGGATGGCTCGGTACCATCTGGGTATGTTGAGAATGGCAGGTAAACACCATGGTTCCCTATATGTTCCTCAAAATGTGGATCGTAAACAGTCGTGTTTTTTGGCATGGTTTCGGTGGCTGTTGCAGGAGGTGTTTTATGAGATGTAGGATCCGTAGAGTCCTCGTTAAAGTCAAATGGTGCGGGATGCTAGAAGTTATTCGTATTTGATGTCTTGCTTCAAATAAGTGCTGATAGCTCACCTTTCTGATATCAGATAGATCTAGCCCTCCACGGCGGGAAAGTCTTCTAATCTCTTGCAAGTCAGTAATAGAGCAGGTGCGTAGAAAATCAGGTGCAAAGGTGCAAGGGTAAGGAGAGGAATTCTGGCGTGAAGAGGGTAGAGGTCTATGTCTTCGATTCGCTTCCCTCAGTGAGCTCTTTGTCAACCACAGCCTAGATAAGCTATCCCAAAACAATGGAGGGGGATGGAAAGCGTGCTGCTTCCGTTGTCGATGCCGATACTTGGAAGAGGCCATGGAGAGGAATGGATATTCTCTGAAGAAGTAGGGAAGGATGTTGTGGGAGATAGAATTGAGGACCAATTCCGGGCCTTATTCGAAGCACAGGAAACAAAGAATTCTTAGTCAAAGAAGCACGGTTGGCTCTATTATACTTTATAAGTAAAACAAAGAGTGGTCAGATAGCATAGGTATGAATCTATGATTAAATATAGCTATTGTCTTGCTGGATTCTGAACTTCACAAGTTGGATGGAGTTATTTTTGGTCAAGGCTAGCGACCTAGGAAGACCAAGCATCACTAACTCTACCGCAGATACCTTGTCCGAAGGTCTTTCCAGGGCGCGGCCACGCGGTCGAGGTACCTGAACCAGAAGTCGCTCGCATGGAAGCGGCTACCGTCGGGGCGGAGTGGCCAACGCTGCGGGCCTGAGGCAGATCGCGGGGTCCGGTGTCGGAGGGTCTGACATGACGTTATGCCCACAAATGCGACGAGTTGCAGGGGAAAGACGCTGCACAGTCATGGGCTCTGGGGGATTATGACAAGTGTGTAATTGGGCCAATCTGACTGGCGCCACCGTAGAGACAGCAAGGGAGAGAACTTCTCACTCCAGGTCTAAACTGGTAGGAGTGCGTCGAGATCGTCAAAGGGCGTGACCGGGCGGCGGGACCAAATCAAGAGGCGTCACATGTTCCGCTGTCGGCCGCTGAGCTCCCAATTGACTCACTCCCATTCGTTCGTCCCTCTTAAATACTGTCGTCCTTCCAATCCTTCGCTTTCCCCTCGCCTCTTTTTTTCTCCCTCATCCTCGCTGCTCTCCCTCTATCTCTCGCCTGCGGTTCCTCCCCCCCGCCATCGCCACCATGCCCATGTATGCTTCCGTCTCCGTCACCGCCCCTCCCCCTCCTTGGTGCCCCACTAACCCGTTGGTGATGTTGTCATGAAGGCTCAAAGACCCCTCCAAGAAGTACAAGCCGTTTAAACCGCTTCGTCTTCCTAACCGCCAATGGCCCGATCAGACCATTGACCAGGCCCCTCGGTGGCTGGCCACCGATCTCCGAGATGGTAACCAGAGTCTGCCCGATCCCATGGTATGTTCTCCTTCCCTGGCTCTGGTTGGAGTACTCTTGTTAGAGTTCTCGAAAACATCGCCGCTAATCACCCTCCTCTGTTTCTAGGACGGCGAACAAAAATTCCGTTTCTTCAAGATGCTAGTAGATATCGGGTACAAGGAAATCGAAGTGTCGTTCCCGTCGGCCTCGCAGACGGATTTCGACTTCACCCGCCGCCTGGTTGAGACCCCCGGCGTCACCCCCGACGATGTCTGGCTTCAGGTGCTGGCCCCCTGTCGCGAGGACCTCATCCGCCGCACCGTCGACTCCCTCAAGGGCGCCAAGAAGGCTATCCTGCACATCTACCTGGCCACCAGCCCGTGTTTCCGCCGCATCGTCTTCAACATGGACAAGCAGCAGAGTCTGGAAATGGCTGTCCGCTGCACGAAATACGCTCGCTCCATCACAAAGGACGATCCCACGAATGCAGGCACCCAGTGGAACCTCGAGTTCTCCCCCGAGACTTTCTCCGACACCGAGCCTGAGTTCGCAGCGCAGGTCTGCGAGGCCGTCAAGGCCGCCTGGGAGCCCACCAAGGAGGACCCCATCATCTTCAACTTGCCCGCCACGGTCGAGATGGCCACCCCCAACGTCTTCGCCGATCAAGTCGAGTACTTCTGCCGAAATGTCTCGGAGCGAGAGAAGTACGTCGTGTCGGTACACCCCCACAATGACCGCGGCTGTGCCATCGCCGCGGCCGAATTGGCCCAGATGGCTGGTGCGCAGCGTGTCGAAGGTACCCTGTTTGGCAACGGCGAAAGAACCGGCAACGTGGATCTGGTGACTCTGGCGCTGAACCTCTACACCCAGGGCGTTACGCCCAAGGTGGACTTCTCGGACATCAATGCCGTCATCAAGGTGGTGGAAGAGAGTAACAAGATCCCCGTCAACGAGCGGTGGCCCTACGGCGGCCAGCTGGTCGTCTGCGCCTTCAGTGGCAGTCACCAGGACGCCATCAAGAAGGGATTCAAGCTGCGAGAGGAGGCCAATGCCACAGACGATAACGAATGGGAGATCCCCTACCTGCCCCTGGACCCTGAGGACATTGGACGAAATTACGAGGCTGTCATCCGTGTCAACTCCCAGAGCGGAAAGGGTGGTGCCGCCTGGGTTATTTTGCGCAGTCTGGAGCTGGATCTCCCGCGCGCCCTCCAGGTCGAATTCAGCAAGGTCGTCCAGCGCCGCACGGAAGAAGTCAGCCGCGAGCTGCGCGCCAGCGAAATCACCAGCCTCTTCGAAGAGGCCTACCACCTCAAGTCCAACCCCCGCTTCAACCTGGTCGACTACAACATCAGCACGGATCGCTCCACCTCCCCTGCGCCCCCGGAGCCCGGAAAGGCCCTCAACACCAAGAACCTCAAGCGTCGCTTCACCGGTGTCATCGAGATCGACGGCATCCAGCACGCCATCACGGGTGTTGGACCTGGTGCCATCTCCTCTCTGGCCCAAGCCCTGTCGAATCTGGGCATCGACCTCGACGTCGTCGACTACAAGGAACACTCGATCGGAGGCGACGCCTCGTCCGGTCGTGGTCGTGACGTGAAGGCCGCCACGTACATCCAATGTACCGCGGCCGGCAGCAAGGAGCAAGTCTGGGGTGTCGGTATCCACCAGGATGTGGTCCAGGCCAGTTTGATCGCTCTCCTGAGTGCTGCTAGCTCGGTAAGTCTGCAACCAGTCCATCACCCAATCCCAATTTTAGCGCATGTCTAATAACCTATCTTCCTCTCCACAGTTCCTCACCAGCCGCGCCGGTTCTCCTGCCCCCTTCCGTCCTCATCGCTCCAGCACCCTCACCGCGGATGACATCCAAGCCCTGGACAACCTGCACGGCGCCAGCGAGTCGGCAGTCCTGGCCGCCAAGTCCGCCGTGAACGGCAACACCACCACACCCAAGGTTGACCTGGAGGCTCTGACGAAACAAGCCGATAGCCTGTAATGTGACGAGGGACGGATGATGATACATAAAAGTGGAACGTTTGACCGATGAAATAACCTTCGACAAAAAAAGAGAGAGAGTTTACGAATTTTTAATATTCTTGACAGATTTTTTGGGACGCGTGGAGTATTCATTTTGATGATATCTCAATGGGATTTTTTATGTTACCTACATACCTGCCTATCAGACTTCTTATTTGCATAAAACAAAAGTTGAAGGGATGGATGGATTATTGCACAAGATAAATGCCCAGATCCATAAAAAGAATTCTGCTTATACAGAATGATCACGAGAATTCTGTTCGGTTTTTATTCATTGAGGGTCATCTAAAATTTCTGTTCTCATTTCCTGGGTTAGGAGGGATTCTATCTACGACTGGAGTTCAAGTAAATGAGCGAGAATGAATTCACATAATAAGCCAAGTATCGAGGTGTAGGTAGAGAACTCAGCTCTAGGTACGGAAGTATGTATGCGCGTATATCATCGCTTTCCAAGCAGAACGTCAAGTATCACATCACATATATCCAAGCCATTCCGCGTCTATCCCTTTTCTCTCTCTCTTTCCTTCTTCTTTCTCTCTAACCCCCCTCCAACCCACCCTCTTCCCTTTCCTCTCTCCGGTTAGATATATATCTGCGGGACACCGACTAATATAGAAAAAGGAGGAGACAACTTCAAGCATTCAAGCAGGCAAGAAGGGAAAAAAAAACCTCGAAACTTGCAAAGAGCCTAAGCAGACGAAGAAATGATTTTGAAATTTCGTAATTACATGCAAGGTGTATGGAAAAGAAGGGGGTATGGTAGGTTGGTATGGTATGTATGTACAGAACATAGCATGTCATTTCAAATCATGGGATATGGTCGATGTTGACTGATATGGGATGGACAACAAGGATAAAAGACGAGACTTGGTGGGGGAAAGGGAAGAAAGGAATAGAATGCAAAGGGGGAAATCAAAACTGAACAAGATGCCAGGGGAGAAACAAAAAGATATAATAGACTATGCCAGAAGCCAAAAAAAACGAAACGGAAAGAAAAAAGAGACTCTAAACACAGATGGCGGGCAAATATAGTGCATAAAGAGATACCGGGACCAAATCAAGTCCACTCACTCACTAGACTGTGGTCGAAAGTAAGGTAGCTGCTCGCTTTCTGTCTCTAGTATCCGTAACGGCCATCTTCGAACTGCCTGTTCCCACCGAAAGCCTGGTTGGATCCGCCTTGGCCGTGTGCGTTATCCGCACCTAGTGCTGACTGGTACATCAAAGCTTCCTGTGCCCAATCGCCTTGGCCATCGTCTAGCAACTCGGTCTGTTCGTAGGAAAAGGGTCGCGGCTTGGGGGGCCTGCCATACTGCCGTTGACTAGGTTGACTAGACTGTGAAGCATGTCCTGTTGCGGGCCGATAAGGCAGGGATTCATTTGCAGGAGCCGGACCTGCTGTCTGAGTCAGAGGCGCCGTGGCAGCTGAGGTGGCGAAATCACCAAAGTCAAAGCCAAAGTCTGGATTTCCAATGGTCTGGGGAAGATCCATTGGAGCCGGGATGTTTCCACTGGT